AGCTCGTGTACAGAGTCTCGTGGAGCAGTTGGACGATGTGAGGACTGTGGTGAAGAAAGCCGAAAAACAGCTTACGTACAGTAACATAAAGAAAGACTCTGAGCCCCTCCAGTTTCTGACTGGTTTGCCTTCAGGTGTTTGGACCGCTCTGTGGGACTTCTTTGAGCCTAGCCGAGAAAATGTACTGCGCCGCGCCGGATCTGCGAAGACGGAAGCTGAGGGACGGCGGATACAGTTGGAGGTGGCCGTAAATCGCCAATGAGCATGTAATGGAGGATCAGCTGCTATTGGCATTGATGTGTCTAAGCGCGGGCCGAATGGAACAGAAGCTGGCATGCGTGGCACAAGTTAATCATCCGTTTCACGGTATATAGCTAGCTGAGCTGGAAAGATGTCTTGTTCCTCCGTTTGGGCATGATCTACATTTGGGCGAGATGTTCAGTCATCAATGCCATGTACCGCAAGACATTCTGCATTGTGGATGAAACAGTTCTATTTTGCCATGCACTTAGGGTTCTCGCACCGGCACGGCACAACACGACCCAACAGATCCTTGCGCTCGTATTTTCTCTCATGGTAACATTGCTGATCACAACACCCAGTAGCCAGTCGCAGATGCAACCAAATCAACCAGGTTCTCTTACTCTTTTTTTCCAATACTGAAACCAAGGTATACCAATATTTGCATCGAATGCAGTGATGATTTCAATACTGTCCACCAGTACAACGCATTACCAGACTGGCATATAATCATGATAATATTATCCATTTCGCAATCACTGTCATTGCTTTCTTAGATCTCCAATCATCAATATCGGACCATAAACCGTCTTATCATCTTATAATATCATCATTAATATCCTGCTGCTATCCTCCTCTAACGATGAGCTCGAAGAAACGAAACAGCTGTCTAGAGGCGTAAACAATATTTGTCAACGGAAGTGTCCTTGCTGTGCTGGTGTGTTTATGCTTCGTGCATTAGTTCGGCCAAGAGCGCATGGTGGTGGCGGGTTGAGGATGTAGTACAGCGGAGTATGACCGAAAGCTCTGTCACAATGTATTTTATTAGGAAGGTATAGAAACAGAAAAACAACTGTATCTTGATCTTGGGCGTAAACAGCCTGTCTCACATTAAATATACTAGAAAATAGTTCACTCTGAACATGCAGTCTTCCTAAGAGAGAGAGAGAGGGAGAGAGAGAGAGAGGGGGGGGGGGGGGTATTCATACTCATAGGTTCGAAAGAACCGCACACACACTTTGTTGCGGACAGCGGCAAGCTTTAGCCCTCGTACTTCGAAGAGGGAGCAATCCACTGCGCTACGCTTGCGGTTAACAGCAAGCTTCGATCTTTCAAAGGTACGACTCATCACTGGCTCTGGGGTAATGTTCCTGGAACAAATGCCCCATTGCCGATTGAGGAGTGAGGGCCAGGGAGCACGCAATCTGCCTTCATGGGCGAGAAGTGTTCCAGCACAAGAAGCAGCACGAATACATGCTGACAAAGACCACCATCACCACCAGCCGGCACACAGCACTTCAAACACCATCCACTCCGTCCATGTGTTTGCACTGTCCTCCTCTAGCTCTTCACGCTCAACAAATACTACGCACTGCTCATCGTTTTTTTTTATGCTTCCTCTGGGTTGGCTAGCCCTTCGACTTGACAAAACAGCGATCACCACTGCTATCGCCACCTCATAGCAGTCGCTTCCACCAGTGGATTTTCCTGTCTTTGCAAGGTGTCCAAGGATGGCTGCTGTTGTCACTACAGGCAAATCAGAAGTACTTTAGTGGCTGATGTCCAACCAGATCGTTGGAAAATCGATTTTTCCACTTCAGGGCTGCTGATCGCGATCGCGACTTGGTGACTTCGCAGCACCACGGTTACCTTCATAGAAGATGGCTCTGGAGAGGAAAAGGCAGACCAGAAAAAGGTTACTATTATTTTCAGCACCGATCTCAAGGAGAAAGAAATACGGTCTGCTGTAGCTTAGGCACAAAATAAATCTCACAACACGATTCGCGATTCGAATATTTCAACAACAAAAAAACTTACCTCTGGAGTAACTCCTGTTTGTGGCCCGAGATCGTTCCCTCCAGCGCCTTGAAAAAATCCTGCAGCTGCATCACAGTCCATGTCTCTCTCGGAGACTCTGCTCCTACCAGCAGGAGGTTCAGCACCGCTCGAAGCCATCGCAAACCACTTGAACTAAGCAGAAGACATTCCAAAACAAACCTGAAACACACTGTCAAAGATGCTGTCACGTTCAAAAACTAGCTCGATCGCGAGTGAGGTTGCCCCCGTGCTCGAACCCATATTAAAATAAATAAGGGGATCGGTCTGTACGCGCGCTACACTACGGCTACAGACTCAGTACGGACCGTATCCAGGTGTCCGTGACGTTTGACACGTGATCGTGAGTGATGACGCGTGTGTTATCAAAAGCCTTTTTGCAAATTTTGGCCATTTGGGCTAAAAAAACAAGGACAAAAAAAACAAGAAACAACAAGAGCAGCTCGATCTCGCCTTCAATGTAGATCTACCAGCTAGCGCTAGCGTATTGTTATGCTAAGGTCAGAAAGGACTTAGAGGCACTCGCTGAGTTATATCATCAGTTGAAGAATATTTATCCTGGCGTCGATCGCTGAGAAGGTGCACTATTGGCTACTGACGTGGATAATAGTTTGTTACATTCACAACAGTGTTGCTGTGGTAATCCGCGCAGTGCTGAACATCTCTATTCACTGTGCAACTGTATCATACCGCTATCAAAACTTACTGGGGTAAGAGAATTATGTATGTACAAAAAGGAAGATGAATGTTGAAGAAACAATAGTTGACTGCCGGGCTGAGACCGCTGAGTGCGTTCGAGTTTTCCGGATTTCAATGGGCGCTTTCCATTACACGTTTGCACAATTCTGGAACTGGGTTTTTTACTTCTCGAATGACCAGAATGTGCGAATTCCGGCCATGTAAGCGAACGACCGGAATTCACAACGCATTTTATTCATGGCATATCACAAACAAAATTGGTCTTGAAACTAGCCTGATCACGTACACCCTCGCGCGCACGTGGACCCAGCTTCGCGTACCGGACTACCGGTCCATCCCGTTGATCGTGAAGGCTCCATGTCGGCAACAATATTGGGCTTCGATAAAGCTGAACCTGTGTGCGAAAGGACCACCCAAAATGATCTGCTCTAACAATCGGCCCCCAGCGGAAACTCAACTGCTCAACTCAGCTTTTCGGGAAGACATTAGACAGTAGCAACTTCATGCAGTTGTAGCCCTGCTTTCGCGCCACACCGACCAGGGAGGCTCTTCCTTGACCTGAGTCATGCATGACCAGACCGGTAACACACTGAGCGTGCAATTCTGGCGCCAGAATTAGAGAATTCTCTTCACTGTCCCTCCAGGAAATCGCGATTCCACGGATGCAACAAATTTCGCGATTTTGGTCCAAACCCGCGATTTTCAGCAAAATCCGCGATTTCCCGCGTTTTTTTGTTGTTTTCTGCACTATATCTCACATTTTTATGCACTTTTCACGCAGTTCTTTCCATGATTCTTAGGTTATTTGCACAGTACGACTCCCGAGTAGATATACTACATGTACGATGCAACAAGTTTCGTGATTTGGCCCAAATCCTCAATTTTCTGCAAATAAGGCCGCGAATTCCTGGCAAGTTCTGCATCATTCCGCACTTTTCGTCGCATTTTTTGTTACTTTCTGCCGCAATTTCTTGCGCAAGTTTTCGAGAGTTTTTTCCGCAAATTCCCGCAGGGACAGTCTTCAGAATTGATGGAATTGGATAAATTCAATTCTAACGGCGGAATTTGTGTAATCGAACTGTGCGTCAACAATAAACTAATTCTAGAATTGACTGATTTGTGTGTAATCGAACGCGCCCAATGTGGCAATTTCATACTGTGTTGTGTATCGGATATGCATAATCTTACCACCCTATCCGACCGACCTTTCGGCCGACGAAAAAATCGAGAGGTTTAACAACTAAGAAAGGTTTGCTCCCCACAACTCCTAAAAATACATGTAGTAGAGAACGAGTACGCCGGGGTACATGTTGGTGACTCGTTTACTCATCCTTAGTTAGGCCAAATAATTATTGCCGGGGAATTTCGATGTGGTTGGCTGAAGTTTGTTTTCGAGTCAAACAACACGTGTACATGTAGTTATAAACTGACTGAAGTGATCTTTTGCATTTTACTGAAAACCCAAAAAGGCAGTTTTACGAATCACGTCCTTCGTGATTGATCTTATTGAGGCAGTAGGCGTTGGTCACTGAAATCTGGTCCATGCACGTCAGCTAGTACTGGACACTGTGCAGCCGTAGACCTCCCAACATTGGGTTGTGCACCGCTGTATGGAAATGTACCGTAAAATTCTGTTTAAAATAAGCCCCGGGCGTATACTTTGCAGAGCGTCAAAAACCGGGCGTATATTTGGGCATGGGAGTTATTTCGGACGCAATCTGCCAAAGATCAATCTATCAGCAACCCACTAGTTTCAGTGAACCACCATTCACACTGAGCGCGGTACAGGTACATCAAACCACAGCTAGAAATTTGGTCGTAACCAAGAATGTAGCGAAAAATTACAGATTTGATAGGTAAACCACCTGTCCACTTTACGCCCTGGGCTTATTTCGGGCATGGGGGCTAAAACGGACTTGAAGTGTACACCGCCTAAAACTGGGCTTATTATCGGACATGGGCGTTATTTAGGGTGGGCTTATTTACGGAATTTTACGGTATTATTCATGATCCCGGATTTCATCTAGCACGGCTGTAGATAACTTATTGTGTACAGTTGCATGTATATCTAATGTGTTGTACGTTTTATGTGTGTGTGTGTGTGTGTGTGTGTGTGTATGTGTGTATGTGTGTGTGTGTATATGTATGTGTGTGTGTATGTGTATGTGTGTATGTGTATGTGTGTGTGTATTTTGTCGCACTGTGTGTTATTCTCTACAGACCGGCAGTACGTAATCTTCTGACAAATTCTCAGTAATCCACACCATACACTGTACGCTATACACCCGTGTACTACTGAATATACAACATCACCAAGAGAACCTGTTTGCTTCAAAGTTACATGGCAATCTCAAGACTGTCAGTAAGTTTGTTCAGCGTGGTTATGCTGTGAGTGTACAGAGCCGGTTAGTCCAGTCAACCAGCGGATCAAGGTTATGTGTTGCTAGTAAGGTGACTCAGACATCAGCACAGTCCAGGCAGTCAGTTAGGTGGAGATCAGATCAGTCTGGTCGTCAAGTCACTACGGTACATGATGCTGTTAATGCCATTGATTCAATATCGGATAGCATTGTCAACGCGCGCAAATTTATACCCAGTGAGCTGATATCAAACTGTTCTCTCATCCAACGACATGTGAAGGAACTACGGAGTCCAGGCATGGTTAGCGTTACCCTTCAGGCATGTGCTCTTGTCAATGAGGAGAACACTGATGTGACAAAGCTTACAGAGTCTTTACTTAATCAGCTAGCCAGCCTACCTACTGAACTCTGGCAAGAAAGCAAGAACCAACACATCCTGTTATGGGCACTGTACTGGGCCGCAAAGTGTAGATGTTCAACTCCAAGATTCACGAAGTTACTGCAACAGCAGCTTGATGTCATGTGCATTGAGGAATGTAGACATGTTGGTAATTGTGCACATGCATTGTTTATGTTAAATGTGCCTGATCGTCACCTGGCCCAACACTTGACGAATCGCTACATTACCATACAGAGTACAGGTGATCCAAAGTATCGTCATACTGAAGTACTCTCACTACTTCTCTACTGCACACTGTGTGGTGTAGAGTGCAGTGCCTTGCTAAAGCTGATCAGTGTTGATCATCTGATACAGAGTAAGTCTATTCTGGAATAAGCTATTGAATAGAGACTTGTGTCTGTTAGTTGTGGAATTTCTGCTCACACAGAGTTGCAATTGACACCCATACCAAAATTCTCTATAGTTATTGTCCTTGGTATCTCAGAGTTTAAATCAAGTGTTGTTTTAAAAACAAGAACAGAAACGATCTCAGTTTATGGTTTTTGCTACACAATATTCTGCAAGTGCAGATTTGCTTTCACATACATACTATGATGATGTATGTTGTAAACTGATCATAATTCAACTTGGGGTTTTTAAAATAAAGTCATGACGGCAGGATTATAGGTATGATTTTGAATCATGCAGTTGGACAGTCCGGCTGAAGCCATTCCAAACTTGTGTTAGTATTTCAGCAATCAACTACATTCTAGTGAAATGTGTGGGGCATCCTGCAACTAAACAGTACAATTGGAAGTTTTGAGCACACCTGCCTTATTCCTCAGCACTGCGAAATCGCACTTCAGTCCACTGTATCAGTTTCGACATTTCGACAAATTGCTATCACCAGAATGCAGTGCAATATGCGATATGCATCCTGATGATGTTTGGAAACAGGTCAGACAGAATAAACTTGTGTGTACTTCAAGAAGTATGTGCACCAAATTTGTAACTCACACCCCAACAAAAATTCATCCAGGGTTGTTCCCCTGACTGTGTCTGTTTTACAGGAAATAGGCTGTTGGCGTGGAAATGACAAATGGATCACTTTCTGATGTCATCGATCTTTGATTTTTTCATTTTCACATCCTAAAATATATCTGTTGGTACGTGTCCATATCGCTGTGTGTCTCTCTCGATTCTCTCTGGCCTGACTTCTGTGCAGAATGCGATCCTCGCCTTGTGCAACTGCTATATTTGCACAACACCCTCCCTGTCACTAACGACCAGCGGCTACAGATAATGAACAGGTGTGCAGTGCGGTTCCAGAAGGCTGTGGCAAGTCAGCAGTCAGGTCGAATGTATGACATGCTGTCATACTTCATTGGTCCAAAGCACACCACTGGCATGTCTCTGGTTGATGGTGTGGAAGTTCAGGCATTCTGCATCTTCAACCAAGACCATGAACCAGTGAAGACTGATGCGTATCCAGCTGATGTATACAACGGTGTATCAGTAGATATGACTGCAGCTAGACGTCATGGTTTCAGTGTTGTGGCATGTCGGGGTGTGAGTGACACTCAGTTACAACGTCATCCTGTACGTACACCTAACGGGTATAACACTCTTGAAGCATCGGCACTCAAATCTCAAGGATGTTATATTATTCCGGTGAGTTGTAGTGCTAGTGTTTTGCCTTTGATCATGATGTATGTCTTGATACTTCAGTGCAGGTTGGAAAACAAGCTTGTTCGTAATGATAGTTTTGAGTTTATGTACTACATGCTGCTGCCCAAGTCTAGTTGTGAGACATAAAAAATGTTTTATAGTCTCAGACTGTTCACCCATCTGAAGATTGTGTTCAGTGTTAAAAGAGAGTTTTTTTTATCCTGGGTGAGCTTAAATTTTGCATTACTTCACTCTTTCTGTCTACTTTGATAGATGGTACTCAAATATGGCGCTCGGCACTCGCAGAAAAGCAGCCACACTATCCCGGATTTGCTGATCAATTATCCGTATCACATCACCGTGTTCAAAGACCTGTTACCCGCCAAGCAGTGATGGACATACACACTGATGTCATAGTCTACATGATGGTAAGTTACAGAATGTTAGATGTTGTACATGTATCTGCCATTGTGTAGTTTAGTGTTTTATTCTTTCAACCTCATTGGGTGCAATGTCTATAACCTTATTGGGTGCAATGTCTATAACTGATAGCAGAACACTAGTACAGTGTGGTGGATTTGACTTCTTTGATGGGAGTGAGGTATGCGAGTTGTTGGGCGCCTTCCTTCGATCTGACCAAACTAGAAAAGGACATCAAGGAATCGATCTGGCTATATCGTGGTGGTGGCCTACCTATGTTGATGAATACAACGGGTAGTGAGACTGATTAGATGACCCGTGGAAGACTATTCCAGGAATTCCAGTGTCATGGGTTGAAGATTACGATCAATGTTAACCTAGAAGTAGTGAACTTCCTCGTTATCACACAAGGAAACCTGTAAACTGGTCAATACGAATCATACCGAAACCGGGCGCCACAACACTATTGTCGTCGGGAAATGGTAATACAGTGCATGCATGCATGCGCACAGTGGTACAACCTGCACAGTCTGGGCGCGGTCCGCTAGCAGGGGAGAACTCCGTGTGCAGCGCAACGCCAAAAGGGACCTGATAAAGATCACAAGGACAACACTACACCTGCATGCCCGGTCTAACTCTCTGCCGGTGATAATACAAGACCTCCTCAACTAAGGCTCAAGTCTTTTTATCGGTAGAAGAATATCCGATATCTTGGCTGACCATGATGCAGCGGCGTAGCGTAGCCCTTTTCAGTTTGGATGGTCATGTGATGCGACATAGTATACAATTCACACTATTTTCATTTGGCAGCCAAGGATACTGGCTCAGCCAACTCCTTTTATTTGGAAGCTTTGCGGTAAACTGCACTCAGAAACGAGTCTGATTCAGCAGACTATACATGCAAGAAAACATGCTTCTTGAATGGCAGGGAGCAGCAAGTTGGGACGAAAGCAGCACAGTGTAGTCACTTCACACCAGGGAGCAGTAAAACACCGGTATTTACTACCCCTTGTTTCACACTCAGCTCCCCTCGCTCCGATCATGCTGGTGTTTTACGGTTTGCAAAGGACGAGGTACTGACAATGGCTGCATGTACAATCATGTTCAAGACTGACATACAGTGTGCCACATACAAACCATTTTATGAAGGAACTACCCTCCCCGTATACAGGTCCAGTCCACGCATCGACACGTGGATGAACGTTGAACGCGGGCACTTCTCGATACTTTTTATCCTGTTTGGGTGTTTTGCGGACATGGTACGACACACTCTAGCAGCTGCTTTGTTTGCGAGTTTTGCGATACGGTGCTACGCGCATGATGATGTGTTCCAGGAGACAGTATCACCATAAAGGAGTGTGCTGATTAGCAGTGGGTGTTTGAACCCCTAGAGTTGTGTAGTGGACTATCTATTGAGAATAGAGAGGTTCCGCATAACGTAATTACGTTAATAAAAAACGTAGTCGATCTACGGAAAGTCTTACTTCAGTACGTAAACTGCACGCGCATCTGAGTTCCGCCATACGGAGTTTTCAAATCGCGTAGCTGCCCTTGGCAACTCCGAACGCGGCGGTGTACGACCAGATCGACTTGGGGAGAGAGTCATAAATTTGTACCCCAATCCACTTACGAACCAGCTACAGTAAGGACGTTTAGCAATGTGAAAATTCGAGCTTTTTGTGGTGATATTTCGCGAAAATCTGTTTCGAAAAAGAAAATTTGTGAGGTTTAGCAATGCGAAATGACTTTTTCTCGAAGTTATTTGTATCTTATAGTACCGTACCGTATATGCAGCTCAGTAGATATCCTTAGCTAAAAAAACGCTAACGTAAACGCAAACCTTTCCGTACTTCGGATCGTTCAAGCTGACTTTTCCCTTAGCACAAAGTACGTTATAGTTGAGACGAAGTAGTCGTGACAACCATGGCGATATGAATTTTCGTGGAAACAGATGCGGGAAATTCAAAATTTTGAACCAGGTATTAGTTTGCTGTCGTTCCGAAAGAATACCTTGGCGAGGTCTTTTACTCTGGAATAGCAAAAGCACGGCGAACATGAGTTTTCGCTGTTCCCAGGTCCTTGGAAACCCTTTCCTAAACGCAGCACCGAAGACTGTAAGGGTTCTCCAGCTCCAGCACGTCTGGGAGAGGCCGATGAATTTCTTCCTCAAGAGTGCCGTGGAACTGGTCCTTTGTTTCCCAGATGGGATAGAGGGAGAAAGGCACGAAGCAGAGGACGCAGAAATTGTCAACTGAAAGGCAAAACTCGCCAAAAAGCTAAATGTCACAAGAGGAAGCAATCTCGACTCTCGATCTCATCTCGATCTGCACGACGTGCTTTTTATCTCCCGCCAGTTACAAAACAATGCGAGTTTTGCATTTTTTGCAGAATTTCCATAACGAACGTCGGCCCGTTATTTTGAGCTCTGTAACGTTTTTCCGTTATCCGATAACGTCTTTTGTCACGGCTGGGAGTGAGTACCGTAAAAGTTAGCGTTATCGTACTTTTGCTAAGGATGTCAAGTCTCAAGCAGGGGCTGTAAAATTACTACTCCCTGTAGTCAAATGCGTACCGAGAAAAGAGAAAGTTACTTTCGCAAATCACTGCAATTTCGCGTCCAAGTTTTCGAAGTTTCGAGCTTTTTTTCTGTACTCATTCCCAGACTCGAATTTTCTTTCGAACTTTCGCATTGCTAAACGTCCTTATTATCAGAGCCCTATCTACGTACTCTCCGTAGACAACTTTCTGTAAGTGGAGTGCAAACTCGCGAATTCACGGCTTTTTCACGCCCACGAACGTACAATTGCTCAACTTTACGTAGTGCGGAACCTCTATAATATTGACAAATTCCTTTCTGATAGGTTCCTCGTGACTGGTCTGGGGGCACAGTGGAAACTGTGATTGGTTCACCCACGTTTGTTTGGTATTGCGACTAGTCACAGGGCCTGGACTGGTCACAGGGCCTGGACTGGTCACAGGGTCTGGACTGGTCACAGGGCATGGACTGGTCACAGGGCCTGGACCGGTCACGGAGTTCTACACAGAAAACCAGACTTAGATATGCAGAAATGCACCATATCGCTTACGTAATCTTTGCCGTCTAGAATTTCTTTAAAACTGATATCACAGGTCTGATTGACACAGAGCAAGAGTATAGAAGTGGATCATCCATGTCCAATCAAAACGGAGAATTCTACTGTCCAGAACCCATCCACAGAGTCGCACATTCTGCTTTATGTACTCTTGCAATCGTAACAGTATGGAACAGAGATACATGAACAAGTAGCTAGCCTGGTCGGAAAAAAAACTTGGCAACCACCATGGAGAGTGGAGTGAACTGAGTAATACTTTCCCGATCACAAACAATTGTATTTGCTCTTTGTGCGATTCTTCTGTGTTCTCTCAGATATCTTTGAACAGCAGTATACTATGCCGAGTTGTGCCGTGATATCATGTGAGACTGGAATATGAAGTCCGTTTTGTGATTACTAAGAAAGTTGTGGACAACTCTTTTGGTCTTGTGATTGAAGTTTTCATTTCTCTGATTCTTTGCCACTTTTTCTGCTTAGCTGAACAATGAGGAAGCTGCCTCTTCTTTAATTCCACTCCCGGCTGAGTAACTGAATAACTGAGTAACTGAGTACACCGGATGCGAGAGGGTAGTGCTGCTAGTGCTAGTGTAGTATGCGTGTTGATTGTGTTTTTTGAAATCAAGGCATTGTTGAGTTTGTGCGTGAATGTTTGCGTGTCTGTGCATTCAGTTCCCAATTCTTTGTTCTTTGTGCGTGCTTATACAGTACAGTGTACCTTGATATTGTGAATCCTCCACATGACATTGTGTGTTTTCCACTTCCATTGTCCATACTACACATAGTACAAGTAGCATCTGGAGTAGCCAGGATCCATATTTTTGACTGAGCTACATATTTAAAACTTAAAAAAGGTAGTAGCGTCTGCCGTGATCTGTGTTTGTGTGTGTGTGGGGGGGGGGGGGGGCTGTAAGGCGGCACGGCACGACCATGTGAGATCGGATTGTGACCAACCACGTGTGTTGTAGCCTGGTGACGTGGCTTGTTCGCATGAGGATATAGAACTAACATAGACCGATCCTAGCAATGGTCCTGACCAGGCTCTCTTGTTTTGCATCAACAAGTCACTACAATCTACATGTGCATGTCATGTAGTGCGCGGATGTCCAGGATATCACTGCTGCCCGGTTCTGAATACTCAGTAATTTGTCTTTCTTTGATCTCGTATTGAATAATAAGTGGATCTACGGGGGGGGGGGGGGGGGTCTATCCGGATGAATACAATGTTTAGCGTAATGTCCGGAGTGCGGCTTGTGAAGTAACTGTGTTATCTGTTTGAGGTACTAGTGGTAGCGCCAACTCAGCAGTCAGATAAAATCATGCATACACCGACTGATATGATTGTACGCGCGCTACAATACAGACGACCGTGTCCAGTACAGGTACCACTAAAGTACTGCTCAATGAAATCCAGTTCCGTCACTCAAGTACGTGCAGTTCTGGACCTGAAAACACTGGGCTGCAAAATGGTGCAAGGCCCAAACTTGAGTGACGAGACTGGATTTCATCGAGCAGGACTGTACTTACTACAGTCCCGCTCAATGAAATCCAGTCTCGTCACTCAAGTTTGCACCTTGCACCATTTTGCAGCCCAGTGTTCGCAGGTCTAGGGCTGCGCAACGCCCGGCGTGTATTTGAGTGACGTGACTGGATTTCATTGAGCAGCATGCACTGTATAATAATGTACTAGGTTAGGACTGGTGAGTGGTGTCCGTGGGGTTTGACACGTGAGTGATGACGCGTGTGTTATCAAAAGCCTTTTTGCAAATTATTTAACCCTTTATGGGTCTCACATAAGCGTAAGGGTCGTATGTGACCCTTACAGTAAAATCGCATTTTCTGTGAGTTTTGTTGCTAGGAGACAACTAAAATGGTGCTCCACTCGTAGCTGAGGTCCCAGGCTTTCCAACGGTGTAAAAAACAACCATACTTACCATACAAAATTTTGCAGTATCGATCGACTGAAGTCTGGTGAAATTGGAAAAGACGACCATCCGCCATGCGCGCATTTCGAGAATGGGAGTGCATCTCTTGAAGCCGTGTCAGAAAAGCTTTCTGGGGACACTGACGGCACCAGTCTAGGCTGGATGTCTCTGGAGGATTTCCAGTGTAATGTCGTGAGAAAGAGAGCTCCGTTGAGTCCTCCTAGCTCAAATAAATCGTCCCCGAATGAAGAAATCAAATTTACCAACCAGCGAGGAAGCACAGCAACAGCAACTCTCACAAGGACTTGTCAGGTGCGATCAGCTGATTCGCCTGGCCGTGAGAATCACGGCACGCGTGACATCGCGCCTGAGTACTCATCTGAGCGAGAGTGAATCTGACGCGAGCGGCGCTGATGTGAACGAACCAAAATTGTGATATTGTGGAACTGTTGCTGCTGGAGCATCGCCGATGGCGAGGTATTGGAGTTCAAGGACGGGATAAGGAGCATAATATATTCTTCACCAAGACGTAGCGCTTACCTGATTGTTTATCATAGGACTTCAGCTCCATCACGAACTTGGTATGCACTTCGTGCTGTGATTTTTGTGCATTTTTGTTCGCAATTGTATTTTCTCTCAACTTGAAGGGCTACCACGGGTCATATCCTTGCCTGGACATAGTCATATTTGTGTTTTCTGGACGCGTCCAGGCATACAGATTTTGAAAATATAATTATAGTTTACCCATACCTACAACTCACGGAACTTGAGTTATGGCTCGTTGTTTGTACGCGTGTTTGCGTGACCACCCCTCACATACATTGAGTAAGACCCACAAAGGGTTAATAATAAATTTGGCCATTTGCGCTAAAAAAACAAAACAAGAAACAACAAGAGTCAAGGGTACCTCGATCTCGCCTTCATAATGACTTATGTAGATCTACCAGCTAGCGCTAGCGTGTTGTTATGCTAAGGTCAGAAAGGACTTAGTGGCACTCGCTGGTTTATCTCATCAGTTGAAGAATATTCCTTATCCTGGCGTCGATCGCTGAGAAGGTGCACTATTGCCGGCTACTGACGTGGATAATAGTTTGTTACATTCACAACAGTGTTGCTGTGGTAATCTGCGCAGTGCTGAACATCTCTATTCACTGTGCAACTGTATCATACCGCTATCAAAACTTACTGGGGTAAGAGAATTATGTATGTACAAAAAAGAAGATGAATGTTGAAGAAACAATAGTTGACTGCCGGGCTGAGACCGCTGAGTGCGTTAGAGTTTTCCGGATTTCAATGGGCGCTTTCCATTACACGTTTGCACAATTCTGGAACTGGGTTTTGTACTTCTCGAATGACCAGAATGTGCGAATTCCGGCCATGTAAACGAACGACCAGAATTCACAACGCATTTTATTCATGGCATATGATATCACAAACAAAATTGATCGTAAAAGAGATCACGTACACCCTCGCGCGCACGTGGACCCAGCTTCGCGTACCGGACTACCAGTCCATCCCGGTGATCGTGAAGGCTCCATGTCGGCAACAATATTGGGCTTCGATAAAGCTGAACCTGTGTGCGAAAGAACCACCCAAAATGATCTGCTCTAACAATCAGCCCCCAGCGGAAACTCAACTGCGGCAAATAGCTTTTCGGGAAGACAGAAGACAGTAGCAACTACTGTAAAAGCCATTATTCTAACGAGGCGCATATATAACGATTTCCCAAAATCGACTGGTTTACGTGTACCAAAGGTAACGATTCTCACCTATTCCCAACGCTCAATAGGACAGTATATGTATCGATTTCTGTATAACGATTTCTATTTTAACGACAGATTTCCCCTCGTTAACTCGTTAGACTTAGCACTTCGTTATATATATATGGCTTTTACAGTACATGCAGTTGTAGCCCTGCTGCCCTGCGCCCAATGTGGCAATGTAATACTGTGTTGTGTATCGGATATGCATAATCTCACCACCCTATCCGACCTTTCGGCCGACGAAGAAATCGAGAGGTTTAACAACTCCTAAAACTACATGTAGTAGAGAACAAGTACGCCGGGGTACATGTTGGTAACTCGTTTACTCATCCTTAGTTAGGCTAAATAATAATTTCCAGGGAATTTCGGTGTGGTTGACTGAAGTTTGTTTTCGAGTCAAACAACACGTGTACATGTAGTTATAAACTGACTGAAGTGATCTTTTGCATTCTACTGAAAACCCAAAAAAGCAGTTTTACAAATCACGTCCTTCGTGATTGATCTGATTGAGGCAGTAAGTGTTGGTCACTGAAATCTGGTTCATGTAAGTCAGCTAGTACTGGACACTGTGCAGCTGTAGACTTTCCAACATTGGGTTGTGCACCGCTGTATGGCCGGAAATGTATTATTCATGATCCCGGATTTCATCATGTCTAGCACTGCGGCTGTAGATATTGTGTACAGTTGCATGTATAGTCGTATCTGATCTGTTGTATATGTGTGTGTGTATGTGTGTGTATATGTGTATGTGTGTATGTGTGTGTGTGTGTGTGTGTGTGTATTTTGCCGCACTGTGTGTTATTCTCTACAGACCGGCAGTACGTAATCTTCTGACAAATTCCCAGTAATCCACACCATACACTGTACGCTATACACCCGTGTACTACTGAATATACAACATCACCAGGAGAACATGTTTGCTTCAAAGTTACCTGGCAATCTCAAGACTGTCAGTAAGTTTGTTCAGCGTGGTTATGCTGTGAGTGTACAGAGCCGGTTAGTCCAGTCAACCAGCGGATCAAGGTTATGTGTTACTAGCAAGGTGACTCAGACATCAGCACAGTCCAGGCAGTCAGTTAGGTGGAGATCAGATCAGTCTGGTCGTCAAGTCACTACGGTACGTGATGCCTATGATGCTATTGAGTCAATCTGTGATAGCATTGTGAAGTCACACACTTTTCAACCCAGCTATCTACTATCACAATGTTCTCTCATCCAACGGCATGTTACTGAACTACGCTATCCAAATATGGTTAGAGGTATCCTGCGGGCATGTGCTCTTGTCAATGAGGAGAACACTGACGTGACCACACTGGCAGTATCTGCACTGAAGCAACTAGCCAGTCTACCTACGTATGTCTGGCAAGAAAGCAAGAACCAGCACAACCTGAGATGGGCAGTGTACTGGGCCGCAAAGTGCCGATGTTCAACTGCAGGATTCACGAAGTTACTACAACAGCAGCTTGATGTCATGTGTATTGAGGAATGTAGAGATATTGATCGGCATGCTCATGCATTGTTTTTGTTGAATATACTTGATCGTCACCTGGCGCAAAACTTGACGAATCGTTATTTGACCATACACAGTACAGGTGATCCCAAGGATCGTCATACTCAAGTATTCAGACTACTTCTCTACTGTACACTGTGTGGTGTAGAGTGCAGTGCCTTGCTGAAGCTGATCAGTGTTGATCATCTGATACAGAGTAAGTCTATTCTGGAATAAGCTATTGAATAGAGACTTATGTCTGTTGGTTGTGGAATTTCTGCTTACACAGAGTTGCAATTGAAACCCATACCCCAATCCTCTCAGGGGCGTGCTCGGCTCCCCTTCCAGGGGGGGGGGGGGGGGGGGGGGGGTGCACCACTTCCAGACAACAGCATTTTTCAAAAGGTTGTACCGGTGACATCATCAGATATTTGCACATGTGACGTCATTATTACTGTTACAAAGATTGTATATCATCAAGAATGAACACAGTACAGCATGTAGAAAGGAAAAAGACATTATGGATACGAGGTAAGAGTAACTCTCCATCACTGTAACATGATACTTTATACAGTCAGAAAGTGCAATAACTAGGCACAAAACTGACAGAGTACTGAGACATTCGACGTCCTGACACCTAGCCTCAACACATCTCCGTAGCGCTAACCGACAGCCTTCCAACTTGGAAGGTTCAAGGTTATGGAAAAGACCAAAGAGGGGAACACATACATTCTTTGTTCCGTTGGGACTGTAGCTTTTGCTCGTTTTCGTTGCGCTTGCCTTCCCCCTCTTTGGTCTTTTCCATAACCTTGAACCTTCCAAGTTGGAAGGCTGTCGGTTAGCGCTACGGAGATGTGTTGAAGCTAGGTGTCAGGACGTCGAATGTCTCAGTACTCTGTCAGTTTTGTGCCTAGTTATTGCACTTTCTGACTGTATAAAGTATCATGTTACAGTGATGGAGAGTTACTCTTAACTCGTATCCATAATGTCTTTTTCCTTTCTACATTTATTTATTACTCAACATACGAGTTTTACAGTACAGCATCATATCAATTTTTTCAAAATATAGGATGAAAACTTTACAAATGTTTAAAAACCAATCAATCGACGGCACTGTGCCGGGCAGGCCGATGCAAACACACATTGCACGGATACAGCTAAGAACAATTGTCACACTAGTTGACGTATCTGGACAGGATTCGGCGAGGAGAGCGTCAAAAGAACAGCTTGAGCACCTCATCTGCGGATGTGCTCCCGCGAGGTCGGGCTTTCCGCAATACATTGGTGACTTTTCAAAACCCCGGTCGAAATATTTTGGTGGGTGCACCTGCCCCCTGTGCCCCTCGCCAAGCACGCCCTTGCCTCTATAGTTATTGTCCTTGGTGTCTCAAAGTTTAAACCAAGTGTTGTTTTTAACAAGACAAGAAACTATCTCAGTTTATGGTTTTGCTGCACAGTACTCTGCTGATGCAGGGTCACTTTCACATACATAATGATGATGATGTATGTTGTAAACTGATGATCCAACTTGGGGTTTCTAAAATCGTCATGATGGCAGGATTATAGGTATGATTATGAGTCATGCAGATGGACAGTCTGAAGCCATTCCAAACTTGTGTTAGTATTTTAGCAATCAACTACATTCTAGTGATACGGGTGAGGCATCCTGCAACTATACCGTACAATTGGAAGTTTTGAGCACACCTGCTCTATTCCTCGGCACTCCAAAATCACACTTCAGTCCACTGTATTAGTTTCGGCATTTCCTGTAAATTACTATCACCAGAATGCAGTACAATGTGCAGTGTGCAATATGCATCCTGATGATGTTTGGAAATAGGACAGATAGTATGGACTTGTATGTACTTCAAGAAGTATGTGCACCAAATTCGTAACTCACACACCAACAAAAATTCATCCAGTGTTGTTCCCCTGACTGTGTCTGTTTTATAGGAAGTAGTCTGTTGGCGTGGAAATGACAAATGGATCACTTTCAGATTTCATGGATCTTTGATTTTTTCATTTTCACAATGTCATCCAAAAATGTATCTGTTGGTCTATGTCCATACCACTGTGTGCTTCTCTCAATTCTCTCTGCCCTGACTTCTGTGCAGAATGCCATCCTGAACTTGTCCAACTTCTATATTTGCACAGCACCCTCCCTGTCACTAACAACCAGCGGCTACAGATAATGAACAGATGTTCAGTGCGGTTCCAGAAGGATGTGACAAGTCGGCAGTCAGGTCGAATGTATGACATGCTGTCATACTTCATTGGCCCAAAGTACACCACTGGCATATCTCTGGTTGATGGTGTGGAAGTTCAGGCATTCTGCATATTCAACCAAGACCATGAACCAGTCGAGACTGAAGCGTATCCAGCTGATGTATACAACGGTGTATCAGTAGATATGACTGCAGCTAGGCGTCATGGTTTCAGTGTTGTGGCATGTCGAGGTGTGAGTGACACACGGTTACTGCGTCATCCTATACGTACACCTAACGGATATAACACTCTTGAGGCATCGGTACTCAAATCTCAAGGATGTTACATTATTCCGGTGAGTTCTTGTGCTGGTGTTTTTGCCTTTGATGATGCCTGTCTTGATTCTACAGTGCAGGTTAGAAAAAGGAGCTTGCACTTAATGAGAGGTTTGAGTGGTTTGACTACATTCTGTTGCCCAAGTCTCGTAGTACGACTCAATCTTACCCTGCTGACATGTCACAAGACTGTAGGCACGGAGATGACCAATCGCATTGCACCTAGCAGGGCCTAGATGCGGCGATCAAAGCATGCTACAAGAAGTAGAACTCCATATTTAGTGGAGCGGGCTTTGATTTTCCCATCAAAGCCCGCCCAGGCGGGCTTTGATTTTACGATCAAAGCCCGCTCCACTAGAGCTTTGATCTACGGAACAAGCTCGCTTTTTTTACACGACTCGGTCTGGAGAAGGTTGAGTCGTGCTTTCAAGCGCCATCGGAAGATCAAAGTGCGTGTTCATGTCAGAAATCCAATCAAACCAGTCGTGTTCATATTCTATCAGCCAATCACAGCCCTTCGCGAAGTATTTACAAGTTCGATATGAGTTTCAAGCATGGGTGCATGTGAGAAATGTAATCAAAACACTCGTTGTCGTGTTCGATCAGCCTACATCACAGCCCTTCGCGCTTCGGGCGGCGGGCTGTGATTAGGCAATCTCACACTCGTACTCTTGCTTGATTCCATACTTCTGGAGACTGTGTTCAGTGACAGATTGACTATCGGGACTTTCATCTCCACTGGATGAGCGTACATTTTTGACGTGCTTCACTATTTCTTTCTGCATTGATAGATGGTACTCAAACATGGCGCTCGGCACTCTCAGAAAAGCAGCCACACTATCCCGGATTTGCTGATCAATTATCCGTACCACATCACCGTGTTCAAAGACCTGTTACCCGCCAAGCAGTGATGGACATACACACTGATGTCATAGTCTACAAGATGGTAAGTTACAGAGTGTTAGATGGTTTAACTTTTTTAATTTTTTTATTTTATTTTTATTTTTTACAAAATACACAACTCACCGGCAGGTACATGGGGCTAGCATGGGGTGAGATGGTGCTGGTGGTGCTTGCCATGCTCAACCGACCAGAGGTCTCGGCATCTTCACATGGCAGGCGCACCAAATTCGGGAGGGGAGCATAAGCACGAGGGGAAAAAGCACGGGAGAAAATGGAAGATTTAGAACGAAGGAGAGGATCTAACTTTGGAACACAGCAGAAAATAGCAAATAATCAAACAGATAATAGGAGTGAATGAAGAGTGTCAAATGAAGGGTGCAATAGGGTAGCAATGGAGATTGGCTACTCAGGATTGGCCCCAATTAGGCTTGGGGTGGGAGAAGCAGGGTCATAATCCTGGAGGAGGCTAGAGGCGGTCGGTTGCCCAGTCCCAGTCAGACTGCTTCAGGTGGTCATAGACCTTCTTCTTGAAGGTCTGCATCGACTTCTGGGAGGGGCGAGCACTGAGGATAGAGGCTGGGAGGCAATTCCAGGTGTCAATCATACAGTGGGGGAAGGACATTGTTCCGAGACTGAGGTGGGACAGTCTTGGTCAGCTGGAACGGATGGTGGCTCGCAATTGTGCGCACGCTGGCTCGGGTGCGGGCCCGGGCTGGAGGGGGTAGGAGGGCTGTGATCATGGCAGGGCCAGTCAGATAGTGGAGCTTGAACAGGTAGCAGAGGGCAGCAACAGAGCGTCGGATGTCCAGGCTGCCACGGTGTAGTTTTACTCTTCCAGCCTCATTGGTTGCAATGTCTATATTGCTGAACACTAATACAGTGTAGGGGATTTGACTTCTTTGATGGGAGTGAGGTACCGTAGTGACGTGCATATAAGAGCATGTGCCTATACCCGGGCATAAGCGCACCCTGACAAATAAGCGCATGGGCTTATAAGGGACCATCGCAAAAGTTCGCAGAAGCCCCCGAAACGAAGACCGTTAGTTTCGGGCCTGACCCCCCTCCCTCCCCCCCTCAAACGAAACGACAGTCACAATATGGGCTTCATTATTTCACTTGGATGCTCACACATAATAATTATCATAATATACTACCCAAGCATTGTTGTATCAGTGTGTAACAATGTACAGCACTTTATAAATGCAACGATGATATCACCTTGCAGTGGGTGATCTAAGAACGAGAACAGCTAAAGCTATGCAGTTGTATCCTTTGAGCATTACGCGACACGCGCAGTTGCATGAATGGACTACGCGTCCTGACAAGCGATCTACGCCGGCTGTGATGGCATGCTAATCTATATCAGCTCCTACATGTCGTCAATACTTTTTTGAATTGAAGCCCGGTTTGCGATTTTCGACACCGACTCCCTCCCCCCCCCCCCCCCCAAACGTATGCTCTTCGTTTCAGGGGCTTCTGCGAACTTTTGCGATGGTTCCTAAGTGAATCTAAATGCAGTCCATCCCGCGACAAACAGACACCACAAAAATACCATATTCACATAGTTCAATGTGCATTGCGGTATTGCACTATGTGCATAATTATGCAAGGTACCGGTACACCAGCAACTCAAGCGCATGTGCCTATGTGTGAGACAAAATGACCCGCCAAAATAGCAAATAACGCAAAAACTCACTCATAAGCGCATGGGTCTTTATGTGCGTCACTACGGTATGCGAGTTGTTGGGGCGCATTCTCTCGATCTAACCGAACT